GTCTTTTCATTTCCTGAATCTATCCAGTACCTGATACAAAGGTTAACAGTAAATGTTGAATAGGTGGATGTTTCTGAAGAAATTTTAAGAAACTAAATATCTGTTTTCTCTTTTGTCTCATTTTTGTAGCGCCTGACAGCTATAAAGTGCAAGATAAGAAAACTGCCTCCAACCGCCTCTCCTCTGCAACTTTGGGACAAAATAGCAACCACTCAGGAAATAAACCAGGTACAGTGCGTTACATTTACCCTGGGAAAATAAAGGTTATCCCCAAGCCTTAACAGCATGCTAAAGAATTGTAAATTAAACAAAACTAGAATTTAGCAGAACTTGGTTCCAACTCTACCGCCAAAACACACACTCATACTGGCTTGGGTGAAATTAAGTCTGAGAACCTCTCAAAGCCTTGGTTTTCTCTCTATGAAATGGAGATTCGAACATGGTGTGCTTACCTCTCTGAATCATTTTGACAATCAGTGAGATGGTGTATACCGATGCGTTTGTTTACTGTCAAGCAGTTTATAAGAGGTAATAATTTTACTATTCTGTTTTAAATGACAGACATGACACAATTTTTGTGCCTGTATGCCAAGCATTATTGTTTCTCTTTTGTGACTTTCAAAAACTATTTAAAGAAATCTTTACACGTAGCAAAGCTCGTATAGAATTATGTTTTTGTTCGCTATTCCCTGCAATGATCGTACACCTACTCAGTAATTTCATTTAATAGCCTGTGATTCATGGTGTGTTCCATTCAGTCATACAAAGAAGCAAACAGCCTGTATGTATAATACAAACAATTGAATAGACATTGCAGTTGCTTCCAGGTATCCAGCGACAATTGTGTGGCCCTTGGGAGGGACAAATGTACAATATGATGATAAGAGACAGTCAAAGGAAGACAAAGCAAACCTAATACCCCATGAGGTTCTTGGAAGCCTGGTCATGCTGCATCCAAGGCCAAAGACCCTCAAGAACAGTGAATCAGTGAGAATAAAGATGGAAATAACTGACTCTAGCCTCATAGAAAACATTCTTCATTATAGTATATTTAGTTTTGTGATTTTTTTTTTCATGTGGAAAAGGTCCTAAACAGCAGATAAATCTGGCTTGTCATTTAGATGAAAGACAATAACAAGTACTGTTGGAAGTATTGCTTGAGCAGCCATTAATGGAAAATGATATGCAGTTTCAGTGGC